GAATCGGCTGCAAAAGTCCTGCTTTGCGCTGGCGAGAGGACTTCGTACGCTGACACGTGTCGCACGAGCGAATGTAATCCTCTACGTCTGCTGCAAGCCCTGGCCAGTAGTACGTGCGACTAAGCGTCTTAGCCGTCTTATCTGCTCCGAAGTGCCCTGCACTAACGACATCGTGTGCCTCGGAAAGAAGGAGCTGTCGAAGAGGGCGGTAGGCTGGAACCCAAATCCGTGCTGTGCCCTTCCGTATGTAGACACTACCCTGCACCTCTGCTCCTGCGGGCGGCTGCGGTGTGAAGTCGGGATCTACTGTGTAACCGTGCTCGAAGAGTGCTGTGAGAAGTGGATGGCCGGCAGTGACTGTGAGACTAGCGAGCTGACAACTAGGGCGAGTGAGCGGATCTGCTGGGTTGCGAACGCCTGGCTTGTACTCTATCCTGTAGTGGAAACTCCCCTCCATGAACTCCATCCATCTAGCCTGGCGACGACTCAGCTGCGGCTGCGACTTGAGGAAACGAAGCGAACAGTGGTCCGTGCGTATAACACTATCTGCCCCCTCTAGGTAGCACCTCCACACCTTATACGCATGGATGATCGCGAGCGCCTCCTTGTCGTGTATGGGATAGTTCAACTCTGCTCCTCTCAGCTTACGGGACTCGTACGCGATCGGCTGCAACCCGCGTCCCTGGTCCTGAAGAAGCACTGCTCCTATGGCCTGATATGATGCGTCGGTCACTACAACGTACGGGCGAGTGGGATCAGGGTACGACAGTGTCGGTGAAGACGTGAGCGACTGCTTCATCTGCTCGAACGCCTGCTGCTGCGCTGGACCCCAAACGTACTCTACGCCTTTCCGAAGTAGGTCGGTGAGTGGACTAGCGATGGAAGCGTAACCCTGAACGAAACGACGGTAGTAGTTCGCGAAACCGAGAAAGCTCTGCAACGTCTTGACTGAGGTCGGTGCTACCAAATCCTGTACTGCTGCGAACTTCTTCGGGTCGGTCCTAATGCCACTAGCGGATACGACGTGACCTAGAAACTCGACCTCAGGGAGAAAGAACTCGCACTTCGACTGCTTCGCGTACAGCTTCTCCCTCCGCAAGACCTCGAAGACCTTCTGCAAGTGCTGCACGTGCTCCTCCTTCGTCTTAGAGAACACTAGGATGTCGTCTAGGTAAACTACGACGAACGAACCTAGGAACTCGGAGAGGACGGTGTTCATAAGCGTCTGGAACGTTGCTGGGGCGTTGGTCAAACCGAACGGTAGTACCCTAAACTCGTACAACCCCTGCTTCGTACGAAACGCCGTCTTGTGCTGATCCTCTGGAACTACGCGAATCTGGTGGTAACCCGAACGAAGGTCGATCTTGGAAAATACTCTAGCGCCCTGCACTGCATCTAGGAGATCCTCTACTCTCGGCACCGGGAATCTGTTTTTGACGGTGGCGGCGTTCAGTGCGCGGTAATCTATGCACATCCGTAACCCTCCGTCTTTCTTAGGCGCGAAAAGGATCGGTGCGGCCCAAGGCGATCTAGATGGCTGTATGAACCCCTGTGCGAGAAAGTGCCTAACCTGCTGCGTCATCTCCTCTGTCTCTGCTGGACTCAACCTCCCACTGCCGCTTCGCTACTGGCCTACTTCCCGGCTCCAACTCTATTCGATGGTCTACTGCTCGGCTGGGAGGTAACCCTGGGGGCAACTCGTCGGGGAAGACGTCTGCGAACTCCGCTAACAGTGCACTCACCTCAGCAGGAAGAGTCGCCTTCTCACTAACTGCTGCGCTCCCTCCTTTCCCCTCCTCAGCTTCAACCTCCTCAAGGAAAACCGCGAAGATCCGTGCCGCACGCTTCACTAACTGTCGCACACGAACAGCATTAATGATAGCTGTGGATGATGTGGCCCCATCGCTCCACTGTGGCAGCTCCCGGAACTCCCCGTCTACCTTGACACTGCAGCTTCCCTGAGCCCAATCGAACTGAGTACTAACCGTCCGTAGCCAATCTCTCCCGAAGATGAAATCGTAACCGTCCAGCGTCGCAGAGTCGAAGTCACGCCTAACAGTGATCGGTCCTAGCACTACGCGCAACTTGCGAATGATTGGTCCTATGTGAAGCGGCGTCCCATCTACCATGCGAGCGTCCTTGAAGTTGACTGCCGTATCTGCTTCGAGATGGAGACGACTAACTAATGAAGACGAAACGAACGAGTGGCTAGCTCCGCTATCGACGAGAATCTTAACAGGAACTCCGCGAAGCTTCCCTAGAAGCACGACTGGTCGGTCAACAGTGTCTACCGAGGTCTCCGTAGATGACTGCTGCAAGGCCGTCTCCTCTACGTTGGTAGACGTGGCGGGTACGGGAACCTCCACACCAGCTAGCGACCCGCTATCTACTGGCGGTTTCCGTTTCCCTGCTGCTGCTCCTTGAACTGTGGGCAGTCCCGCTTCATGTGACCCGGCTTTTTGCAGTAGTAACAGTTCCCCCTAAAACCCGTCCGCTGTGAACCGTCACTGTTAACTGCACCAATCTCCATGGGCGATGGTCCGTCCCTCGATCGAGCGTCGTTGATCGGTCTGCTGTATCCCCTATCGCGATCGTCACGACCCCGTCGGCTTCGTACTGCGTCGACGCGTTCTGCTGCTGTGATTACCGACTCGAAGGTGGACAACCCGTGAATCGCTATAACCTCCGCTATGTCCGTCTTCAACCCTTCGAGGTAGCGATCGCGCATCTCTGCTTCCGTGATGTCGTCTATCTCGTTGCAGATGCTCAAGAACCGTCGTGTGTACTCCTGGACGTTGCCTATCTGTCGGAAATGACGCAGACGCTTCCTAGCAGCTTCGGAGGCGTTCACCAAATCGAACCTACTTTTCAGCGCCGCTTCAAATCCTTCCCATGTCGTCGGAACCGTGGTAACACCCAAAGCTAGACTTCCTAAGCTCGAGATTGCAGCTGCATGCCCCACGCCCTGTTGATGCCCGTCCGTCTGAGCCCTTCTAACAGCAGTCTGCGTAAGTTGGCGCCACCACTCCAAGGCCGGGCCCCTCAGCAGCGTCACCGCGTACTCGATCCGCTGCTGCGCGTCCGCCTCTTGCACCCCGCTCGCGGCGAAGTAGTTGTTGAGCATGAAGAGCCACGTCCGCACGTTCGCGTCGCGCTGACTTGGGTCGAACGACTCGGGCTTCTGCGGCTTGAGTGCGCTTCGACGTTCCGGCAGCGCTTCCGCGCCAGTCGACGTGGTGGGTGCAGGAGTTGGTGCGGCATGACCATGGGGGTTAGAAGCCAATTCACGAAGCTGTTGCATTTCAGCTCGTACCTGACGATTTTCCAACGTCAACTCTTGAAGTTGGCGCATGAGTTCGGCAAGCGTGTTGCCCATGTCGTGGGGGAGAATGTGCATGGTTTCGTCCATGTTCGCTCGACGACTCCAAGTCTGCAAGTCGGCACCGCGGGACGATGACGTCGTAGTCTCGTCGTCGACGGCCGCTCGTTGGAAGTCGCTCCCCGCGAAGGCTCTGATACCAAGTGTTAGGCCCGACGGCCTAAGTCCGCTAAAGAATTAGCGGGGTCGACTAAGTCGAGGATGAAACGCGGCGGAAGACTTTGGCGAAAAGACTATTGGCGAAATAGGCGAAGAAGTTACTAAGTAATTGAGAAAGAGTTGGATGAGAATTGGTTGATAATGCCAAGTACAAGCAAGGTTTATATAGCATGCAAGAAACAAGGTTGGAAAGTGGATTGTGGGACCAAGAATTGGAGTGCAAGAAAAGTAGAGTGCCACGTGGCACTAGAGAATTTTGAGAAGATAAGGATAATGGTGACTTGGAATGTACTGTTCGGAATGAACAGTAAACACCCCTCTAACAGTTATCCTGAAGTTTCAGTACGCAATATAACCATTATACTGATTTTGCAGGACAAGATATTCCCTTATGCTGTTTTTTCAGGAGAAGCACACGACACCTATCCTGAATTCAGGAGAATCAGGATAAATTATCCTGATAACATAGGCCCTGGTGTGATGTACCTAATTTTCGAATGCTCACAATTGCAGACCTACTGAGGATGGAATAAAAATTGCGAGCATCCCCAGCTATGAAGCATTTGAGCGTACATATAAAAAATATGTCCATATGATAAGACCCGGATACTATATCATTAGTTGCCTTTGACAAGACCCCCCCCCCAGGGCTCTGGCTAGGTTTTTGGCCCGTCTGAAATGAAAGTACGAGAAAATTTTTCGTCTGAAGGAAATACGAGCAAACTCGGGTGGTCTGATTTTTTAGATGAAACATCAACACGTGTCTGAAATTCCAGACAAAAATTATATTAGATTTCCGAACATACTGTGCAACAGCAGGAATAAAACCCTGCCCTTCACCGTAACGGAAAATTGACTACGGACTGAGTCAAATCCAGCGGGTAGAAACTCGCGTGAATCTTTTAGTTCATGTTCTTTACCGTACTGCAGGTGCGAGTTTGCTTCGGTACTTGTCTGTTTCAAGATTGAAACATACTCTCTGTCTGAGTACTCAGACGAGTTATAAGCCCTTAGTCTTATTTTTCAGATGAACCAAAATGCTTTATCTGAGAGATCATACGAACATAAATGACTGGTCTGGAAAATCATATGAACACAAAAAATCGTGTCTGAAAATCAGACAATCAGACCAAATTTGTCTGATAACCAGAGCCCTGCCCCCCCCCCCCCCCCCCCCCCGCCCCCCCCCCCCCCCCCCCCCCCCATTTTTTTCTTGAATTTTTCATACCGTAAGACCCTAGGGTATTATGTCCGAGAGAATACGGTATTCCATGAGCAGATGGCTAGAGGTTGTGGTCGTGCGGGCTGTAGTACTCCGCCACCAGGCGGTAGATGTACGACGGGTTGTGCCCTCCCCTGCCATGCGCCGCCGTATGGGACATGTGGGAGACACGAGAGTGGAAGAAGGTATGGATTGTAGATGTGAGGAGGTACGGTACCAAAAAGGAGAGTGAGAGGGCATTCAGGGGAGTGAGAGGGCGTGCAGGGGAGTGAGAGGGCATTCAGGGGAGAGAGAGGGGGTGCAGGGGAGTGGGAGGGCGTGCAGAGGAGTGGGAGGGCGTGCAGGGGAGTGGGAGGGCGTGCAGAGGAGTGGGAGGGCGTGCAGGGGAGTGAGAGGGCGTGCAGAGGAGTGGGATGGCATGTGGGGGAGTGAGAGGGCATGCAGCGCAGTGGGAGGGCGTGCAGGGGAGTGAGAGGGCGTGCAGGGGAGTGAGAGGGCGTGCAGAGGAGTGAGAGGGCGTGCAGGGGAGTGAGAGGGCGTGCAGAGGAGTGGGATGGCATGCGGGGGAGTGAGAGGGCATGCAGCGCAGTGGGAGGGCGTGCAGGGGGGTGGGAGGGCAGCAGGGGAGTTGGGAGGGCGTGCAGGGGAGTGAGAGGGCGTGCAGGGGAGTGAGAGGGCGTGCAGGGGAGTGAGAGGGCGTGCAGGGGAGTGAGAGGGCGTGCAGGGGAGTGGGAGGGCGTGCAGGGGAGTGGGAGGGCGTGCAGGGGAGTGGGAGGGCGTGCAGGGGAGTGGGAGAGCGTGCAGGGGAGTGGGAGGGCGTGCAGGGGGGTGACTGACGTGTCGGTGACGAGCAGAGTGACGAGCTCCGGGGGGATGTAGTCAAACGCCGGGTTCACCACCCCCACCTCCACCCCCACCTCCGCTTCCGCTTCCTCCCCCGCCTCCCCCCACTGCCCCTCCGCCTCCTCACCCCCCTCGGCGCCCGCCTTGCCACTCCCCCGCCCCTGGGCGGAGAGCGCAGCCCCCAGGTGCGCGAGGCCCTCCCAGTGCGCGAGCTCCGCCAGCCCCACCACCCCCGCTGGCGAGCGCAGGTCGTTCAGCCCCGCCTGCCCCGCCTGCTGTGGGTACAGCGGACAGATCTAAGGGGGGGGGGGGGGGGGCAGGCGCAGGTGCAGGGAGAGAGGCAGGCAGGGGCAGGAGCGTGAGGATTAAGACGAAGGAGCGCTGTAGCAATATGGTGGAGGTGTTGTTGCGTGATGACATCAGCACCGCACGTGAGTGCAGGAAATCAGGTGGGCAGGTGGAGGGGAGGCAAGGTTGAGTGGAGAGGAGGTGGAGGGGAGGCGGCAGCACTGACAGTGAAGATGCCGGCCAGCACCACGAAGGGCACCGCATGGCGCCGCGCTGCCAGTGCCACCATGTCCAGCCCTGCACGGAGGGAGGAGATGAGAGCAGCGGACAGTGGGGCAGGGAGGGGAGAGGTGAGAGAAGGGGGGTTAGGCACGCATTGGAGAGTAGTTGGGATAACGCAGAGAGAGATGTGAGCTGTGATGCACGCAGGACAGACAGTGGACTGTCACCGTTCTCGCATTAGCACCTCCCTCCTCTCCCTCTTGCTCACCAATGGGCGCTCTCACTAACCAATGGGCGCTCTCACTCACCAATGGGCGCTCTCACTCACCAATGGGCGCTCTCACTCACCAATGGGCGCTCTCACTCACCAATGGGCGCTCTCACTCACCAATGGGCGCTCTCACTCACCAATGGGCGCTCTCACTCACCAATGGGTGCGAGCACCCCGCCATTGGCCATGACGGCATGGGCAGCGAGCAGCACGAGGTTGACGCGCGCCATGAGGGCGAACACCGCCGCGTCCGCTATCACCGTCACCGCCACCCCGCGCCCCGCCAGCGCCGCCGCCAGCTTGTGCCCGCCGTAGCATGGGGCGCCCTCCGCCACCACCACCTGGCGCGGGGGAGCAGGGGAGAGGCGGGCACGCCGGGAAGAGGCGAGGGAGGCAGGGTGGGGGCGATGCGATGCAATGGGGATGCTGCAAGTGGGGGCGCCTTGTGCCAGCACCACCTGGCAGGGCAGCACCGGAGCAGAGCGGAGCGCACGGCGTGATGTGGCATGAGGTTGCGGTTCCAGGCACCACCGCGTGCGTGAAGGGGAGGGCGAGGACATGAGAAGAGCAAGCAGGGAATGAAGGCGGGCCCGCATTGGTGGCGGACCCCGTGGTGCACCGTGCACGCACGCCATGCCATGGGGAGGCCCCTGGGCAGCAGCATGTGGGGGACGGACGTGGTGGTGGGACGAGGGTGTGGGAAAGGCATGGCCTGGCCATCACGCGCGTCCAGCGGCGGCACACATGAGCGAGCACCATGCATGCAAGCCACTTGAGAGACGCGCTGCCACGGGCTGCCCCACTCACGTGGAAGGAGCGGCGCTTCCTGGCTTCGAGCAGGAAGAGCAGCAGCGTGTCGCTGAAACCCATCGTTAGAATCACCTCGCTGCCCCCCGTGCCACGCCGTGCCATGCCATGCCATGCCACGCCATGCCCGGGGGAAGGGTGAGCGAGAAGAGGTGTGAGCGAGCAGGCGAGGCGAGAAGGTATGCAAGGGGCGGAGAGGGGGAACGTGCAGGAAGGGAGGGGAACATAAAAGCAACACGAGAGAGATGGAGAAGGTGGGGACGGAGATGGGGGGACGGGAGAGTTGTGGGCAGACACACAAGGAGAAGCAGAGATGGATTAGTGAGAGGAGGGCAGTGCAGGCAGAGGCGTGAGATGTGGGGTTTGGTGGAGGACGCAGGGAGGGCAGAGGCATGGTGCAAGGACGTGCGTGAGGCCCGGGGAGCGGAGGAGGGGAAGGGAGATAGGTACGGGGGACAGGAAGGTGGGGGAGGGAATTGGAGAGGAGGTGAGTGAGGGTAGGGATTCACTTCTGGTGGATGTGCTCTCACTTCTGGTGGATGTGCTCTCACTTCTGGTGGATGTGCTCTCACTTCTGGTGGATGTGCTCTCACTTCTGGTGGATGTGCTCTCACTTCTGGTGGATGTGCTCTCACTTCTGGTGGATGTGCTCTCACTTCTGGTGGATGTGCTCTCACTTCTGGTGGATGTGCTCTCACTTCTGGTGGATGTGCTCCAGCGCCTGGTCGGCCAGCTGCGACTGGTGGTTGTCTATCTCCTCCAACAGGTCGTTGATGCGCTCTATCACCACGTGCTTTAGCTTGCGCTCTGCCATGCAATGCACCCATGCACAGATGTCCCACGCATGCACCCGTGCACACATGCAGGCAAGCATGCATTAAGTGAGGCGTCAGCAAGCACATGATAGCACGGCAGGTAGAAGCGTTCACATAATGGGTAACCCTAGCTGCACACTCCAACGCAGCCAGCCGGGCGACAGATTCATCACCCCCAGCCCAGCACAAGGCAAGGTAACCTGTCTCAGGCCCATCAGACCTCACCGTCCATAACAGCACAGAACACACGCCCAACAACCACTCCTGCATGCCTGCTCACTCATCTGCACTCCATCCATCATGTCTCTCCTCCCTTCCACCCGTTCCATCTCGCCCCTCTCTCGCTGCTCCACAACGCACCGGCAGCAGCGGCGGTGGCGGCAGCAGCGGGCGAGGGGGCAGAGGCGCCGTCGGAGGAGCGGGCGGAGGGGGGGAGGGGCGCGGAGGAGGAGGGGGGCGTGGCCGGGAGCAGCGCGGGGTCGAGCAGGTTGTGCAGCGACGGCGCCAGCAGCGCACTGCGGTTGCTCCCCGCCACCGACGCCGCTGACAGCGGCCCCCCACCCCCCCGTCCCTCGCCCTCGCCCTCCTCGCCCCACCGCTCGCCCCCCACCGCGCCCCCTCCCCCTCCCCCGCGCACGCCCATGTCTGCTGCAGCGTGGCCCGCGTGCCCTTGCCCCTGCGCGTGCGCGTGGGCGTGGGCGAGGTGCAGCGTGGCGTCCTCCTCGCGGATGGCGTGCATCACCCGCCGCACCACGTTGCCCACCACCACCGCTGCCCGCATGCCGTGCCATGACAGAGTGGGGGGAGCAGGGTTGTGGGGGGTTTGAGAGAGTGAGGCCCAGTCGCCATGCACCGCGCTGGCACAAGCGATGGGAGGGGGTGCGGTGAGATGGGGAGAGAGCAGCAAGGGCAGTACGCGTGGGTGCAAGGACGAGGGTTGTGCTTGCAAGGCTGCCTGCACATGCCATGCCTCCCATGCCCCACCAGCATGGCTACCAGGGCTCACCGGAGGGGTTGGCGGCGGCGAGGCGTGAGCCGACGGAGCGCACGGCGTCGAGCAGGGCGGCGGTGGGGTGCGCGGCGGGCATGCGCTGCTGCGACACCACCAGGCGCAGCAGCTCCGCCGTCCGCCGAGCTGTCTTGTGCCGCCCCTCCTCCTGCCTGCCACGCCACGCCACCACACAGAAACAGGGCGCACACACACAGGCAATGGGTTCACCCACACGCGCATTACAGTCACACCCGCCGTAGCCACGTGGTAGCCACGGTGCAAAGGGCGGATGGAAGGCGGAATGGGGAAGGCAGCGGGCATGGGGGCCAGCGATGTGGATGGGGCACCTCGCGCACACCAGTAGCATCGCGCGTGCCCCTTGGCCTCGGACCAGCATGGCGCCACTACTGGCACCGGGGCCACCCACAGAATCCTCAACGCATCCTCGCCGTCCCCATTCCACCGCTGCCGGCTCTTTCCCGTCCGCTCACCTTCGCTTCAGTCGCGTCGCGAATTCTTCCACCTGAGTCGCCACGTCACCCATGACGTCACGCAGGCGAGATGGCGACGTCCAGCAGCGCGCGCGCGACGAGCCGGCGGCGGCGACGGTTGCGGCGGCGAGGGTGAGAGCGGGTGAGACGGAGAGGGCGAAGGGGCAGCGGGATCCGCGTGGACAGCTGCGAGTGGAAACGAGAAGCCGCAGCGGATGCACGGCACGTGGTGGGTGCGACTACGTACAGCACACTCTGCGCTTGCGCCGTGGCACAAGCAAACCGTCCGAAAACAAAGACGCAGTGGGTGCGACTGCGGTGGTGGTGGTCGAGCAAGGGGCTTTGGTCGGGTTTATATATGGCGAATTGACTAGGTGCACCAACTGTGCAAGTTACCAATATGAGTTCGCCAAGGTGCAAATTTACCACCCCTCTCCACGGCACCTTGTGCATACCTCCCGCCCCAACCTGGTGCTGTCGTCAAGCAGGTCGCACAGCCATGCGACATGACTCGCGACTCCCGTGATCTCTCCTCGTCGCCCAGCAGTCGCACATTGTCGCGCCCTCCGTACGCTCGCATGCGACGCTGCGCCTTTTCGTAGTCTGCTCCGAGCTGCTCCACGTGTCCTCCTCAACGCCTCGTGTCGGCGCATCTCTCGTTTGCTTGCTTCGTGCCGCCCGTCGTTCATCGCTCATCGCTCGTCGTTTTCCCGCCACGCCTGCCGCCATGCAACGCTCTCTCCTCCGCGCACTCACCCGCTGCGCCTCGCAACACCGCAACGTTCTTCCCCCCACCCCCTTCCTTCCGCCCACCTCGCGCGCGCTCGCCGATGAGCTGCCGCTGTTCGAACCGCGACCCGCCTTGCTGTCCGCAGCATCGCCGCCCTCCGCCGATCCTTCCGCCATCCGCCTGCTCTCCCCCGCGTGCTCCCCTCCGCCACTCTCTCCGCCTCTCCTCGGCCTCCTGCCCCGCTTCCTTTCCTTCTCCGCGCCAACTCTCCGCGCGCCGCTCCTCCCCTCCGCGCCACTTCACGCTTCGCTGCTCTCCGCCGCGCCATCCCGCGCCTTCCGCACGGCGGCCTCCGTGGCATCCGCGCAAGCGGCGGGCAGCGGGGGAAGCGGGGGGCTGCTGACGCTGAACGCGCTGGCGGACAGGGAGGGCGCGCGCAGGACGGGGAAGCGCGTGGGGCGGGGGATGGGGTCGGGGAAGGGGAAGACGGCGGGGCGCGGGCACAAGGGGCAGAAGGCGCGGGCAGGGCGCAACCCAAAGATCGGGTTCGAGGGCGGGCAGACGCCGCTGCGCATCCGCCTGCCCAAGCGCGGCTTCCACAACCCCTTCTCCCTCCGCTTCCAGGTGCGCCCCTCCGCTTCCACGTGCGCCGCTGCGCCCTCTCCGTTGGCATGTCGTGAAAATGGGCTTTCCCGTGGCGTGGCGCCACTCTCTTGTGCTTCCCTGCCCTGCCTTGCCCCAACAACCTGGGCTACCCGCGCTGCAACCTCTTGTGCTACCGCATTCCCCCAACCAACCTCCCTCCACCATCCATCCCCTCCCCAACTCCCATGCTCGGCGTGCGGTGCGGTGTGGTGCGGTGCGCACAGGTGGTGAACGTGCGGGACGTGGTAAGGAAGGTGGAGGAGGGAGCGATAGACGCGTCGCATGTGATCAGCATGAAGACCCTCAAGGTGTGTGTGCTGGCATCATGGTGCCCCTTGCTGCTCTGCTGCTGCATGCATGCACACATGCACACATGCACAGACACACACATACATGCACATGCACACACACATGCACATGCACACACACACAGACACACACAGACACACACAGACACACACACACACGCACGCACGCACGCACGCACGCACGCACGCACACACACACACACACACACACACACACACAGACACACACAGACACACACACACACACACACACACACACACACACACACACACACATACACACACACATGCACTCGTGCAATGGATGTGTGAGCGCATGAGCAGATGGATGCCAGGAGTTGCTGTCATGCGCGCCTGTCTGGCTCCACTGCTGCCCATCCAGCCCCTTGAACCATCACCTCTCTCCTCTCTCTCCTCTTCCTCCCTTTCCCTCTTCAGGATGCGGGGCTGGGGGGCAAGGCGATGAGGGATGGAGTGAAGCTGCTGGGGCGGGGGGCGCACCTGCTCTCCCTGCCGCTGCATCTTGAGGTCTGCTCCCACCCCAGCCTCAACTTGCCCCCACACCCCACCCACCCCCCCAGTCCCCGCTTGCCATGCTCACTGTCTTTTTCAACTCCACAAGCGCCGCCTCTTGTCATTGCGTCCACCTGCTCGCCACTCTCTCTCACCACTGCATCCTCTTCTCATGCCGCCACCACGCCTCCGTTGCGCACCAGTCTTCGCACCATCCCTCCTCCTCCACCCTATCCTGTATACCATTGCCCCCTTCCCTCTTTCAGGTGAGCCGTGTGTCAGAGTCGGTGCGCAGGGCGGTGGAGGTAGCGGGGGGCAGGGTGACACGGGTGCACTACAACGCGCTGGGCCTGCGCGCGCTGCTCAAGCCGCACTGGTTCGCCAAGAAGGGCCGCCTGCTGCCGCGCCCCGCGCGCCCCCCACCGCGCATTCTGCAGCTCGGCCTCGTCGATGCCGTCGGCACGCTGCCTGCTCCCACACACCCCGTAACATGATGGCGCTTACCATACCGTAAACGCCCGGATATAAAACAGTGTTGAATAGTGGACAGGGGTTGTCTACTATACGGGTGTCTCTTATAAACAGGCTAGCCTTATTATAAGACACCTATTTGTGTGTACGAGATAAGACATATATGTCTTATAATCGAAACTTCAATATATTATAGCGAAAGTTGAAATAACGCGTACATTTTAACCAGGGTTGACGATATCAGACTATTTTAGTCTGATTGTCTGAAATTTCAGACTATTTTCCTGTCGTTCCTGATTTTTCAGAGTTGGCTGATTTTGAAAAATGAGTGCTTCAGACTAATGTTTTTTTCAATACTGAAAATTTCAGAGTACTTGCTTACCGGATAATGAGTTTTCTTACTACAGAGTACGAACTCGCCTACCCCATTCCTGTTGCTTCGAGGGAAACCCATCCCTCGGAACTTTTGCAAAAGACCCGTTAGTAGAAAAACCAGTCTTAGTGTAATGGTAGTCTCTGAATTTCAAAATTTTCAGAGTTATTTTTCTCTGGTTCCTGAGAAATCAGAGTGTTCATGTTTTGGGAAATGGGCCTCAGACTAATTTTTTTTGGGGGGCTAAAACAATCAGATTGGTTTTATTTCAATAGTCAGCCCTGATTTTAACCCTTGCGAAGCGCGAATTTCTCCACGCGCTGACCCAGGACCTACCAAATTTGCCTCTGCAGGTGTTCTCCATGACGTGGCTGTCGAGATAGTGGGTATACTTAGGAGCCATAGCTAGGGTTTACCTAGCTAGGCAAGAGAGAATGAAGCAAAGGAGGGGTTTGCACTAGCAACAATGGTGGTACAAATAGCTAACCCTAGAAGGGTTGTACTCGCTATAGAGCACCCCACTGCAGGCTAGAGCATAATATTCTGACACACCCCCATAGTCAAAGTGGGGTGTAATCAGCAGAGCAAGCAAAGCAGTACAAGCTCAGGGTGGATCACGATGTCACCACACATTCTGAGCACAAGCAAGAAGCAATAGTTTAAGGTTCACAATTATGAGCAAAGCTAGAGGCAGTCACAGGGGGGCAAGTGAGGAGGAGGAGGGCTGGCGAGAGGAGTGTAGATAGGAGGCGACGACTGAAGCTGCAGACACACGGGCAACAGACGGCTCTGGTGCGACAACGTGGCTACCGGGAATGAGTGCCCCGGAGTACAGGAGTAACAGGCTCCGCGGCTAATATGCGCGGCAGGAGCAACGGACCCACAGGCGACGGCGCAACCGGCTCTCTGAGCTACCGGGAATGAGTGCCCCGGAGTACAGGCGCTGCGTACAACACGACGGCAACCTCCGCTCAACCTCCCCCTGCCAGTCCCACACCCCTCGACACACACCCTCTGCTTCAAACCCTAGCTAGCTCCACTCCCACGGTACCCCCCTTAAACCCCAAACCCTAGGCTCCCACACACCACCCCCCTCAGCGGCAGCTGTAGCAGAGGGAGACTAGGGAGGAGGAGGAGCAGGGGGAGGAACTCACAACCGACACCCCCATAGTCGCCACCCCCACACTCCTCACCCCCAAACCCTAAAACGGGCGGAACGGGGGAAGGAGCGCGGGGGACGGCGAGGGGGACGGCGCGCGGCCCCCAGGACGCCACCACGGGGCAGCGAGGGGCCGCGCGCGGCTCCTTAGGGCGCCGCGAACAGGCAGCGGGGGGTCGCGCGCGGCTCCCCAGGGCGGCGCGACGGGAAATCGGGGGCCGCGCGCGGCTCCCCAAGGCGTCGCGGCCGTCGACGGGGCAGCGGGGGGTCGCGCGCGGCTCCCCAGGGCGGCGCGACGGCGAGGATTGCTCGATGAATCGTATGGTTGCAGGAACAATAGTTGGACGGGTGGAGGAGGAGGAGAAGGACGATACCTACGAGCTACTCGATGACAAGGAACTCGAGGATTGCTCTTACGAGGAGTCAAAGGATGATGTTTAGTTGAATGTGCTTAATGTTGTACTCAACAATATAATATTTATACCGTAGTTTTACAACCACATTTGGATCCCCCCCTAAAAAAAATATCCGGGCAGCCGGTCGGTGTGGGAATCTGTTCACACTGTTCGCCGTAACCGTCTTGGTCCAAAGCGGTTGGCGGATCTTGTGTACGTCACCCACAATTACAACATGGTGCGCAAGTTGCATGCGGAACAAGCCAAGAATCGTATGGTTGCAGGAACAATAGTTGGACGGGTGGAGGAGGAGGAGAAGGACGATACCTACGAGCTACTCGATGACAAGGAACTCGAGGATTGCTCTTACGAGGAGTCAAAGGATGATGTTTAGTTGAATGTGCTTAATGTTGTACTCAACAATATAATATTTATACCGTAGTTTTAAAACCACATTTGGATCCCCCCCTAAAAAAAATATCTGCTTCAGCACTCTGCAAGCAAGCTTCGAAAGATTGGGACAATCACACCCGTTGAAATTCCACCATTGCACAAGATCTTGCTTACCCTTTTTGATAAGTTCGTGATCCTCACGTGCCTTCTTATCACCAATTTCCCCAACGCCTTGAAGATAGATCATCAACTCCTCTTCAATCACAGTCAGGCCCCAAATTTCAAGGGTATTTTACCCTTTTTGCCCTGCTCATAGGCCACTTTTTGGCAGTTACCCTTTTCAAATCAGGGTATGCAGATTTTTACCCTAGTGAAATCTGAATACGCTTAAAAGTACTCTTGTAGGTTTTCCAGTTACACTGACTGTATCAGGGTAGGGGTTCAACTACCCTTTTACCGGAACTTTTCTGTACCGCGGATTCCGCCACAGTCCGCGCGACGACGAAATGCTCCTTGGTCCCACTGGACCATTTGTTGGATACACCCACTGGCGCGCCAACGTACATTCAGGGCGGATGGCACCGCACACCTACGATTGGTCTGTTCAGCAACATTGAAGCCAACGCACCCAGTTTCCGTGCGTTACGCAACATCGCGCACTGCCAACAAAGCCAAATTGCGCGCCAGGTGGGGTACGTGCTGTCGTTTCCACCACCTGGCAGTCACAGTGGCCTTGCAGCCTATGCTATGCAGTTCCCTACCAGCGAGGGAACTGTGCTGCCTGAGGCGCCTTGGGCTTTGTGATTCTCGAGGTCTCGCCATTCTCTCGTTTCCCTCTCGTTTGTTGTTCCGAATGCCTGTTATGAGCCTCGTTAGTAAAGCTTGTATGTGCAGAACACATTAGTCATAAGTTACTGTTGGAGTAGTACAATTTTGATATTAAGAAGGAAACAGTGTACGAGATATATTACCCTGCATAAATCAGTGTACCTTAAATTTTAGGCTGCTACAATCAGTGTACGAGAAAAATTACCCTACCAGTCAGGGTACGGAGGGGATGCCACCCTGATTTGAAAGAGTGAGCTAAAACCTATTTTGGGCCCTGATCACAGTAGCCATAGGCTTGGAGTCGCCGTCCTCATCGACCACCACCTCTCCATCATAGTATTCTCGAATGAATCGTCGAAATATCCTCGAGCACTCTTTGTCCACGCCAAAGATCTTCTCAAACTGGTTCGGCGGGTACAGTATCCAACCGACAACATGGAGTGCATCGTTGATGTTGTCATTCCACCGCCGCGCACAGCCTTTGCAATCACATTCTTCTCAATCGCAGGTAATCCGCGACATGCCTCGTTGACCGCATCCTCCACGCGAAATATCTTGTCGTAGATCTCCCATCAATCTCTCGCAGCAGCAGGTACACCGGCTTGAGAACCTTAGCACTTCCTCGACCCCTTTCCAAAAGTTGTCGTCTCTAACCAATATCTTGACACCCCTCATTTTCTCCTTCTTTGCCGCTTTTTCCTCCCATCCTTTGGTCGTCACCAACCGATCCAACACCTCCCGCACTTAGCAATGAAGTTGGTGCCGAAGCGCGTGCTTGCCGGCTTGAGAAGAACAAGCGAATTCTGCTCCTGCAATTTACCAGTGACCCAATGAGAGTTCTTAAGCGTAGAAATTATACCCTGCGCGTCCTCGATGGTCTTCACCGCACAAGGTCGGGCACCGATGTCCTTCATAAGGTTGTTGAGGGAGTGTGCAGCACATCGGATGTATTGTATCTTCGGAAACTCCTCCTTAATGATGTTGACCGCACTGACACAATTGCTTGCTCCATCCATCAGCACCCCGACAACGTTGTCGCTTCCCACCATGTTGATAGCAGTCTTCAAGTGCTCTGCGATGAAAAGGCCCGTTTTCTTATCCGCTCCACGGTCGACGCCGAATAAGAACACGGACACTTGCGTATTGATCGCCAAGAAGTTCAGCTGCGGGCGATCCTGCCATCCGTCCAACCGTCACTCGCAATGTAGACGCCAATCTCGCTCTATGCCAAAGTCACCTTCGCCAATGCCGCGTCTGTGTTTTTCTTGCAATCCTCGAGGAGGCGACCCATTATCAACTTACGCCCAGGGGGAGTGAATGAAGGCCCAGCTGCAGTAGCCTTCTTGAGCATGTCCTTGAAAGCCTCATGTTCCGCCACGTTCGGCGGAATATGGCACACATGGAAAAAAGTTGCAACTGCGAGCTGTGCGTTGGCCACATCCGTTGTTGTAGGGCGATTGTCGGTGAGTGTCCGCTGCGTCGTCGGCCGCTTGCTAGAAAGAACCCACGGCCACGGTTCCCGAATGGCCACTCCCTCCAGAAAATGCATCAACGGTGCGCTTAGTAGCCTCCTTGCGTGCTTCGACGTTACGCGTTTTTGTCGCTGTTGCTGCCAAAAGTTCGCGCTTCACTTCTGGCGGAATTCTGTTGCAAGGAGCAGCACCGCCACCGTCACCAAGAAGGTGGTGGGTCGCACGAGTCGCGCTAATGGGGCCTTCGAAGGTTCTACAGAATTTGCATTTTTTGAAAATCTTCGAATCTGATTTGCCGCCGATAGGAACTTCGGGGTGATCTTCGTTCTTCTCCATGGTTGTTAGAGGGCAGATAGAAGGTAAGCTAGAAGATAGAAGCTTGAGTTAATCCTCGTAAGTTGTGATTGAAGTTTGCTCGTGAATGTGAATCTGAACGCTCTTTCTTTATATGTTTGTGCGGTTAGAATTTTACGAATCGCGTTTATGTTTCTCGGTTGGAGTGGAGTGCACGCCACCCAACTTGGAGTGCACGCTGAAATGTTAGTGGTGCTTCTCAGCACCTACAAATCAACAAGCGGTGATTGATTCCACCGATTTCGGTGGAATCAGTCACCACGAAACTCCAATCGTCGGCCACAATCTTATTGGCCGACGATTGGTTGGAAAATCAGTCCCGCCAAATTTTCACGCGAGGTGTACAGTCCCACAGGAAAGTATGTTGACTCACAGTTGTTTCTCGCCTTCTTCGAAATAGCGCAAGAGAGTGGCTCGAGTCAACCGAATCGGTTTCTTCTAAAATTTGATGCATTTTCATGTGTTTTTCTATGATGTTAAGGGTGTGAACACAGATTTAGGCCCATTAAACCCACACAAGGTTGACTGTTCATGAAAAACAGTAGCAAACGTGGGAGAAAAGAATAGCCAGATTTCAAGGTTATGACCATAGCTAGATTTGAATGAGAAGGCCACAGCCAGTGTTCAGTGTGATGTCCCTAATTTATGAATGCTCACAATTGCGGACCTACTGAGGATAGAAAAAAAATTCAAAGCATCCCCATCCATGAAGCATTTGAACGCACATATAAAAAATATGTCCATAAGATAAGACCCGGGTACTATATCATTAGTTGCATTTGACAAGACCCCCACCCACTTTTTTCTTGAATTTTTCTTAAGGCCCTAGGGTCTTATATCCTGCACAGTGGCGATGGCAACTGTTTCTGTTTGTAATTGATGGCTGCAGGTGCCAATAGACGACAAATAGGGTGTCAGAAACTAACGAGCAGGAATGAATGAACTATGAAAGAGTTGGGTACAAATGCAAACCCTAAAGATGTTGTACCCCATATTGGCTACCCCACTACAGCCTACACATAATGACATGACATGTACCGTCATACCCCGGATATAAGCGCCACCCTCGGATAAGTGCTTAGCGCTTTTAATTGGCGTGTGGCGCTTATATCCGGTGCTCGATTATAAGCGCATACCTAAAAGGCTTACGAATTATAACCGTATACAAGTGCCTTACACTTTGGTGGTGTTATCTAGGCACTGGCGGAGGGGGAGCGAGGGGAAATAGGAATCTTCCCCTCTCTGCGTTTTTGGTTCGACACGTCGGTCAGCCCGTAAAACCGTGCTGAGCCACCCATTTGCCCTCCGAACCAAAACGAAGGTAAATGCCAAGAGAACGCTCATTTACCCTCAGGGATGTGCACCCCTTGGAAGCTGCACAGTTACCCTCCTCACCTTCCTCCTCAGTGACTCCTCAGGCAAATTTTGCCTCCCTCGCCCCCCCTTTCGGCAACCACTCTTCAGGGGGATTTGGGACAGATGTAAGAGAGGAGCTGGGGGAAAAAACACCCATCGGAGCCTTCCCCCCCTCGTGCCCGAAATTTCCCACCTTCGGTTGTAGTGGGAGGTGGTGAAATCGGGCCAAGAAACACCCTCGGAACGATCATCATTTACATTCGCCCCCCCACCTCCCCCGTCCGCAGGAGTCACCAGAACACCACCTTTATAATCGCCACCCTATTTCTTTTGTTTTGTTTTGTTTTTTTAAATAATTTTAAGACATTTTAAACAATTAATCCACTCAAACATCATCTTAGTTCATCTACAACTAGTTAATCCACTCCTACCTACGAGCCTCAAACAGGCTTCACCATTTTCTACACATCTACCCTACTCTAATCATCAGCTGCAGTGGGGTCATCTAGGTCGGCCTCAGAGTCCGACTCAGGTTCCTCTACGTTGTTGCAGAAGAAACCGTCTGCTGCAATTTCATCATCCATGTCGACCTCCTCGCCCTCGAGCTCATCTCGCCTGTGTTGCAGGCAGAGCTTGTCCTGGGACCCATCCAGGGCGTTGCTGATGCCGCAGGTGAGGAACGCCCATTGAATGAGCTCCTTGGGCACGGACTTCCAGGCCGCCGAGATCCACTTGAGCGTCAGCTCGACAGGAGGCTTCTTGATGTTGCCTGCCACGCAAATCCAGAAACCGAGTCAGCACGTGTTAAAGAAATAAAAACACAAACAGAAAGGCTGCACCTCTCACCTTTCTTCGTCAAGGTGTCGACCCCCTCACGCTCGAACCACTCCTGGTAGAGCTGGCGAACGGCGGCCTTGAAGGAGCGGTTAACCGCGACGTCGAGGGGTTGAATCTCCGAGGTGCAGCCAGCAGGGATGACCGCAGGGACCAGGTTCAGCTCGCCAAACTTCTTCTTCACCTTCGGGGTCAGGCGCCCGCGGTACGAATCGAGGACGAGCAGAGCTTTGCGGGGGCGGACTCCAAACTTGGGGTTGATGTACGGCTTGACCGCCCCGTCCAGCCACTCGATGACACCGTCCGCGTCCATCCAACCGTTGGGATGGACCCCCACGTGGATATCTGCACAACAACAAAACCACGATGTTAGTTGAATTTTCTAACTTACTTAAACATGCCACCGCGTAATCGACATGTGGTGCATACCTGAAGGGAAATCTCCTTTGGGGACGGTCTTCCTTTTGAAGAAGACCCACGGCTTCAACTTCTCCTCGCTGGCGGTGCAGGCGAGGATCACTGTAACCCGCTCTTTCTGGTAGCCGCCGCTGCGGACGGGCACGGAGCGCGAGGCAACCTCTTCAACGGTGCGTTCAGGTGGCATCTCGAGCCAGAGGGGAGTCTGGTCCGCATTTAGAATCCACGGCAGGTCGATCTTGTACTGGCGGCGGGAGTGACGCACGTACGTCCAGAAGTTCTTGACACCAGTCTCGCAGTCTGGGACACGGGATGGGAGGAACAGAAAGCACAAACACAGAGTGAGAGCCGTGAATAGACGGGAACAGACAAACAACAATACCACCAAATAACCACTCACTAGACGAGAGCTTCTGGCCGATTCGGGTCTTCGCTCTGGTTGTCAGGTTCCAGCGGCGGCAAAAGCGCTGAGTCCACCGCTGAGAGCCGGCCCACTTTTCACCTGGGTGTAACTCTTTCATCACCTCGTGCGACCACTTCTGCAGTCGTGCGATCGAGACGGCGATGCACTTCTTGTGGTGGGCGAGAAACCTCCGGTACACCTCCGCTTCCATGCCGCGATACCACGAGCTCCTTCTGCGGCCGTGCAGGCGACAGCGTGCACCGTGCGCGCCCTCAACCTCAGCCTTGCGGATCTTCCACTCCGTGAGGCACATTCGGGAGATGCCGAATTCGCGAGACATGCGCCGCACACTCATCTCTCCAGCTTCAAGCTTCAAAATCCATTGCAGCTTCTCCTGTGTGGTGTAGGAATTGCGCTTGTGAGCTGTCGGCTTGTGCCTGGCGGAGGGAGGACGGGCACCACAATTATCGCGAGATGGGTGGGGCCTTTTTTTATTCGGAGGGGGAAAGGTGGGAATTGAAAGGTGCTCGGGAAGACCATCAGCAGCCCAGAATCCCACGTCGTCGTCAGCATCGGTAGCGGATTCGTCCAACGGGCAATCAGCCGGCGCTCCCCACCGTGGCTCCGGTGTGGAGGAAGATCCTTCGCCGCCGCTGCGTTCAGGCTCGGACAGGAAGGCGTCGAACGCCGAGTAGCCAGGGGGGAGGAGAAGCTGCAGAACCCCCTGTCGCGGAACACCAACAGCAGGCGGGTCAGGAGGGGACGGAGGAACGGGAGGAATCGGAGGCGCCGGGGGAGCGGGAGGGGTAGGAGGCTTTGGAAGAGTGAAAGGAATGGGAGGCACTACTGGTTGTGATGGAGGGACGGGCGCAGGGCACGTCTGCCATTGAGAGTAGTCACGGGTGTCTCTGCGGGTATTTTCTCGAGCAACAGGTTGGCGGCAGAACAAGAAATGCGTGCCTGGAAGGCCCGCCATGGCCACGGCAGGCCAAACGAACGAAGAAAACTGAACCAAAAGTTGAGAATGAGGGCCGTATGAATCCCTCGCCCAAGACCCCTTCAGTTTCGCAGCCCGGCCTCCTCTGCGAGGAAAGTGTGGCCACGGTCAAGATTCCCCGCAGAGGAGCTGAGCTGGGCAGCTCTTTGCCTCGGTGGCAAGGAATCTTGCTGTTGATGGGCACGTCATGGCTGAACCACGACGTTTCCATGATCGCATGCAACCCCGATTGGGCCGATGTGATGCGAAGTACGTGTGCGCTGGCATGGGCCAGGTTCACGTTCGATGAACCTGGCCTGGCCAACAAGGCGTGGAAGGTGTGATGCAACGCCTTGTTGGCCGTTTCATGCGCAAAGCATGCACAGTTTCGAACGTTCTCGACTCAGGTGAATTCGCCTTTGTGAATGCTTCGATTTGGTATATTTAAAAACAAATTTCATTTTTGTCATAACATAAATGCTGGCGCTTATGAGTGCCCCCCATGGGGGTATATCCGGGGTATGACGGTATAGTTTGACACACCCCCATAGGCAAAGTGGGGGAGAACAAGGGGTCACAAGACCAGTCA